CCAAGGACCAAACAGGGGAAAGAACATTTCTGAAGCCCATCTCCATAACCACGCCGAGCCAGGCATGCAACAAGCAAAGGCACGAACCCATGGGCGAATCTGAGCTCCAGGAGCTGCCACCGCAGCTAACGCTGCCCTCGCAGGTGGCGCAGTGCTCCAGGACCCCGCTCTCACCCGGGCAGCTGACACGTTTCCTTCCCCACCATTCCTTGCAGGGAAAGAAAGGAAAAGCAATGACCAGGCCACCGAGTAGTTAACTACACAACTGCTACCTAATGATCCTAATTTGCATGATTTTAATAATAATGAGTAAAACCAAACTGTTAAGTTGCACTTTCTACCTCAGCAAAACCGAGCTATAATTGTGTAGAGAATAATTTTATGGGTGAAGTGTGCCCTATATTATAAGAGATTAGAATAAAGTGCTCTAATATTCAATGTCTTAGCAGGTGCAGGCACTTACCTGGGCAATTAAAATCTTTTTAATATACAAATCACAGCCAATGAGACTATTGGCATGACAAACTGGATCTTTCACGACATATTGTGTTTGTCTAAAATAGATTTTTGTTTGCTACCAATAATTTGTCTAACTTTTGTTTAAAAGAGAAAATGACTGAACGCAGATTAATTTGCAGAAGATTCTTAAAATGCTTATATTATATCATTGCCATGAAAGCATTTACTCGTCCCTATCTTTGTGTAATACATGCATTAATGCCCTTTGATTAATATATCTTTTTTAAAATATACTACACATAACAATTGATATATTTCAATATCATATCTGCTAGGGACTACTGGGCTGGGCTGAATAGACTTTGGCCTTGAATTAGCAAGCAGATCATGGAAAGCATATGAAATTTTCCTTAATTGATTGATTCATTAAGTTCATTAAATGCCCTCCTTTGTGCTCAGAGTATTCTGTAAGTGCGGGCAGGTAAAATAGGTGCAATGCCTCCTGTGAAATGCAGAAGAAAACATGTTCCAGGTATTCCTGAGCAATTCTGAAGGGAAAAAAAAAAAAAAAAAGGATTCCAGCAATGCCCAGACCTGCACATAAAATCCTGCTAATATTAATATATTAATAGTTTCAGATCTTTGCTTCCATTTGACATGACATGATTTTGCATCCAGAGTCCTTCTGAAATTTTAAAGAGAGGGAAGGCAGAGACGTGTGGCTCCTCACCCGGGGCTGCCTCCTCTCCCAGCCCCCCATAAACCCACTGCCCAGATTTTTTAGGGCCCAAAAATGGCCTTTGGATGAAGACAGTACATTGGAGCCTGAGGGCAAAACGACCGCCCCTTTCCCCTGCCTGCCTGGTGGTTTCCCATCGGTGAACCCCAGCCTGGCTGCTCCCTCACTCCATTCACACCTCTGCAAAGAGGCGCAAATTGCACCTCCTGGAGCCTCCCCGAGGGGCTGTGTCTCGGTGTGCAAGCAGTGTTTGCACAACTCCCCCTCCTCTGAGCAACCCCTGGGCACTAACTGGGCAGCAGAGTTATCTCGGGGTGCTGGAGGTGCCCAGGGACCCGAGCCCCTTCCCGTGCTGAGCAGGGTCCTCGGGGCAGCACCTGCAGGGGATGCGCTGGAGAAGGCAGGGCTGTGGGGATCCCTCTGCGCTGTGGGGATCCTTCGGCCGCCCCACTCCCCAGGGCACTGTGCCAGTGCAGATCTCTCCTCTGGGCTTACACCAGTAGCCACAGCATGCTTGGCTCTCGTGTCATTAAAGGCTACGCATGGGAAAATCCCCACGTTCCCAGTGCCTTATAAAATAATAACCAGGGGAAAAAAAAAATAAAAGCAAGTTCCAAGCTTCTCTGCTTCTGACTTAAAACTGAGCTTTGGTTCATACCCAAGCTACTCCTTAAAGAAGCTCAAAGCCCTTCAGCACTCGGGCGTAGCGACACAGCCAGGACCAACACTCTGCTTCGCCCTGTCCAAGTTTGCTGGAAAATACACATCTGCAGCTGCTTTACATACTTCTGCCTTCTCATTTCCTCAGCCAAAAGTCTTCCACTATCAGGCCACAAATTAATCTAATTATTTGGATATTTCGGCTCGAGTCAGCAGACAGTCAGGCATGTGCTGAGTACTGCCTGGGCAGTGTGGCTGCTGGGGGACTGTTTAAAGCCAGGCGCATGCCTGAGCGCCGCACTGAATGAAGCCTCGGCGACCGCCTCGACAGGAGCTGGCTTTAAACAAGCCGGTTTTAGGCAAGCAAAGGATTGCCTTTGCGTGGAGAAGCAGAGGACAGGCAGGTATCTACCAGGTCTCACAAACACGCTGTGAAAGGAATAGATTGTTTTTAATCAAAACCACTCAACATATGGCTGAGGTATCTGGAATAAATACGAGAACGGAACAATAAACAAGAAATATTTTTGTAACTCGTCATATGGCGACTTTGACGAGTTTGATGAAACGTGTCTCACCTTTAGCATCGCCTTTTAAAAGGCTGGCTACTGCTACATCGGGGGCTTCTTTCCACAGCACTAATGCAAAGGTGCTGGGTTCTGCAGGGGCCTCGCCTCGGCACCCCGCTCTGCCCGTGCTAGCGAAAAGGAAGATCTCAGGAAGAACCTGCCACCAAAAATAATAGCACGGGGCACGCGGTGCCGTAAACAGTTAAATGAAACAAAACAAAAGAGTGAAAGCAAACTGTAAGAATACCATGCTTCCAAGTGTAACGTGGGCGTTTATATGCAATACTTAAAAATGTTGAAAGCAGCTGAGTTACCCAGCCCCATTCCCCTGATGCTCACACCCCCCGCAGCAAGGCACGATGCCCCCGATGCCCCTCGGGCCGCACCCCAGCAGCTCTGGGACGGGGAAGGAGCCCTCGATTGCCATGGGGAAGCCCAGGAGCTGCTCCAGAGGGACACCACGGTGCAACACCCTTCCTAAAGCACCGCCTGCCCGCCCAGTCGCACCCGGGGTGCTGGCCCCTGCTTTTCTTGCCCGAAGACCCGGCTCTCGGCTGTGCCCAGGCCCAGGGCTCTGGCAGCACCTCGCTGCAGCTCCCGCCTCCACCACCCACTCGCTGCCTGACCCCGCCGGCGCTCATGATGCATCGTCCCGTCACCCTCACCGTTTACAGCAAAAAAGCTATTTAGCCGGTGCCTGCAACCCTTCAGCCCGCAACGCCTTGACAGCAGAGGTTATAGGAAAAAAAAAAAAAAAGAGAGAGAGAGAGGGAGAGAAAGAAAGAACAATGTGCAATCGGCACTGCATTAGAGATGGAAAAAGTACTTAAAGCCTGCAACATTCATCAAGGCTGAATACATAAATGCCACATTTTGAATAAGCCAAGCAAAAGACAATGACAAAGGAAAGGCGCGTTGCTTCAGGAATCTCTATCATTTTCATTTGCTGCTGTCAGGAACCTGTTTTTTGCCTCTCACTCTATCAGCCATTATAGCATTAATGAAGTAACCTCACATAGTTATTGACTGGCTTGTCAGAGTCCCTGCCTGATCCCTTAATAGAAACCATTGGTCTTCAGTTAAAAATGGGGTGAGCTGGGAGGTGCTGTGGGCATGTGCTGAATTTCAAGTGCACTCCTGAGGTTATCAAAAGCCATGAAATGCAAATTATTATATTTTTTAAACACACAGATTTCATGCAACTGAGCATATAAAATTGACTAATACTGTACTTTATGCATTCCTAATAATGTTTCCAAATACGCTCTGCATATGATCTTTCCCCAGAAAGTTGTGGGTGGTATTTGAATAAGCAGAAATGGGCCTAGTTTTATTTTGTGAATAAAGTAGTTTCCTGGATGTTGCAAGTCTCTGTTCCTTCTAATATAAAGTAATGTTTATGCACTGTCTGTTCAAACAACATGGGTAATCCTTTGTCTGATTTTCTGTCTCAGATCAAAATCATTTTTCCTTCATCTTCCCCCCCCCCCCTTCATAAAGCATCCTAAGTCCCAGACCTGGTATATTCTCATTTACTAGAAACAGAGTTGGCAGAGGCTCTAGAAAAAACTTCTTTTCCCAGAAGGTAATAAATCCAGGGAGTAATCTGGAACACCAGGTTGTTAATTCCAGCACCACCCCGCCACTGCTCTCAGGAGCTGGGTTCGGTACCGTGCCAGCCCCGGTGCACGGCGATGCACCAGCGGGGCAGGACGCAGGCGCATCCTCTCACACCCACCCGGCGAGGGCAAAGCACACAAGGAGCATTTGGCACGGCAAGCTCTGCGTGACCTCCTGTGAGCTCTACCAAGCAGGAGCTGGGGCCCATGGTCTGATGTCTCCATTGTGGTTCCAAGCATCACGTCCTGAAGGCTCTGTGCACCTCTGAGATCAGCCCTCGTGGCCTGAACATCGCCAAGAGTCTTGGTGCATGATGCTCTCCAACCCTGCCCCCTGTGAAACCTGCTTCCCTAACTCAGCCAGCTTACTGAAGTCAAGCTTTACCTGCAGGTGAGACTCTCATCAACACAGCTAGCCCTCACCATCATGCTACTCCCCTGCCTTTCTGTTTGGGAGAGTCTCAAAGGTTAAACATTACGGCCGAGTTTGAAAACAGCAACGAGAAACTCCTGTCTCACTCAGTGCAGACGGCAACGGGAAGAATTGTTGCTCAGCCAGACCTTATTCGAGATTGCTCAGACCTCCTGGGTCTGCAAAACTGGGTTGGCATTCTCAGAAGAACAGGCTCCCATAATAATTGTGGTCTCTTCTCTCTTCTGATTGGGCTAAAATTCTCTAAGAACAACTCTCATGGCACTTCCACATCCCTGGTCTGAAATTAAGCACATTTTTCCTAATGAATACTCTGTTTGTTGATTTGGTGACACTTTTTATGAGTCTGAAATATCACGAAATTCCCTTTTTTTTTCCCCCTGCTTTCCCCAGTTAATTATTTGCACTCCCTCGAAGATGTACCTTACATAAAAGCAGTTGGTGGGTAGCACGTTAGGGATGTCTTTGCCTTAACCTATTTCCACACTATCCCTTTAGCCCGGTGCCATCAGCACACTCACCCCCGTGCATGGTCACGGTGAGGTCTTGGCTGCTCCAAACCATGAGAGGAGCTGGTGACCATCTTCGAGGGGACCACAGCATCACCCCCTCCAGCCTGGGAACTCCCAGCAGCTGGGTCCCTGCAGTTAGCACATTTCCGAGGCTGTCTTCACAGGGCAGCAGGACTTTGCTAAAGCAGTTGAGGTTTGTCAGAGCTATGCTTGGAGTCCAGCCACCGGCTCTGCAGGTCTTTGTTGCAATCCCAACTCATCAGAGCAGAAACACATGCAAATGAATTGCACTGGTGAACAACAAAAACAAACAAACAAACAAAAAAAAGGCAACAGAGCTGCCCTCCCACCCATGGCCAGTTTCCTCCATCTTTAGCTTGCGCACAGTGGTCAGGTGTGGGACCTGCAAAGGGTCTCTCAACAAAATAAAAACTGCAAAAGTTAGTAGCAAATATTTAAAAGTCAAAAAAACACTGGGATGAAGAACTGCTTCAGAAAAAATGTGATCTGGACCTCTAGGAGGACAGCCGGCCCATCAGCTCCGTCAGCACCAGCTCGTTCCTTGGGCACTGCTCCTGAGCACGGGGAGAAATGCCCCTTCCAGAGGAGTGACAGTGGGCTACCAGGCTCCCTGCAAGACGTTTCAGGCTAGATGCAACGGGCAGGAGGCACTCCACTGACTGCCTGGAGGCTGTTTCAGTTCCTAGAGGTGGACCTCTCCTTGGGAAGGGCCAGTGCTGATGTGACCATCTTAAAGTACGTATCCTGGGTTCCTCCCCAAAGCTGGTCAGTGTTCCTGATCAGACACCAAACCCTGATTGTCATCGTCATGCAGTGCAGACTCCTTCTGGCTGAAAACAAGCAAGTTTGCTCCCTGCATATGGGGAGGAAAAAAAGCCAACAACATAGCACCCCTTTCTAGTTGATTCAAGGTCCCTGACAAAATAATCGCGACCGCAACGCCCGCGCTTCCTACCAAAGCTCAGGAAAACTTGAAGCTTTTCTTTTGGTCCGGTGCAAAGCCCGAGCTGCCAACAAACAGCTTCTGGGGCTGCTCTCAGCTCCGCGCTCGAGCGAGCTGCACGCTGGTGATCTAGAAACAGGCAGAGCTGGGGGTCAGGGGCCGACACTTGTTTGGATCCTCACTTCCCAGAGACTCGTCTATCCTCACTCATAAACCTCCCGTAGCTGGCTCATCCATGGGTTTGGGCTGTTTCTTTTCGCTGTGTTTGCAGCACAAACTCCACAAAGCAGCGCCCTGGCCCAGGGCTCGGCTGGGCAGCAGCGGTGCAACGAGTGGCTCGGGCAGAGCAGTGCTGCCAGGAGCTCATCAGCTCCCAACTTCTAATTGTGCTTAATGACTGCTGAAAGGAACCGAACAATCATGAGCGAACCTCAGCTTCCCTGATAATTAATATTGTTATTACAGAATTGTTAATAATTATTAGACCCCAATCTAGGGAGCCTCCAAGATTTTGAGCACCTCCAAGAAGACACGCAGCACTCCTGGCTCTTGTTTTGTGCTTCACAGCTTTGTCCTTATTTTGAGCGTGCCTCTGACTAACGTCTGCCCCGGTAAGAGCCCAGAAAACCCTCCTAATTGACTGCAAGAAACTCTGCTCATTTCAGACACCCGTAGTCTTAGCCTTGAGACAATCTTTGTTTTGGGGACACGCTCCGTGGCCCTAGGAGAAACCCGCACGGCTTTTGTGCGTTGCAGCTGCTGCTGCAGGCGATGCCGAGGCGAGCGCTGCTCGGCGTCACTGCGGGCTTTCACACGAGCAGCCCGGGACTGCAATCATTCTTCAAGGTTGCTAAATATCAAATTTGCAATTGCATTGGCTGTATGCAAACAGGCCTGCTATTTTGTGCGTTTTGTTGAGTGCAATATATTTGGCATGCAAAAGCAGTGTCTTCGGGGATTTTTTTTTAAATAAGTAGTCTGGACGTATTGTGAGAGGCAGAGTAATTAGCATTCACTCAGCCCAGCAGGACAGCAATTTAAACTTTTACAAGGAGTCAAAGTTCAGGATGCTGCCCTGCCATCAACTTTCTACATACAGAAGGGATACAGACTGGAATATCCAAATGTTTCAGGCTACTCTGGGTTATTTGAAACTCCAATAGACACATTACTATGGGGAAATTGCTTAATCTGCTCCAGGATTTATTGCTATTGTACGTTCGGTATGGAGGTCTTGGAGGGTCACGAAAGGGCTGCGCTCAGTGCAAGTATTTCATACCATATTAAAAAGTTTCTGACCATACCTTTAATCCTCAAAATCATTACATCCCATTTTTATGCAGACACGCATATAAAAACACCCCACAAGAGCGAAGCTGCGTTTACACCCTACTCACAATAACCCCACGGCGCGGGGAGAGGAGGAGGCAAAGCACTTTGCTGCTCGCTGCGGTCCAGGAAACGGCAAGTTTGTTGTCGTATAAAGTAAATAAATAGAAAAGTCAGAAGGGGGAAAAAAAAGCCCTACTGCGTTGGATTGATTTAAGACTAAGTGCATGCTGCCAGAGAAATGGATTTTTTTCACCCGTTAGGCAGTCATTTTTACAAACGTACGATGTGAGTACTGATTAGAGCTCACGGAGAAAAGAGCATTTGGGGCCGGGTTGGTTTGGGCTTTGGCTTTTGGGGTGTTTGGGATTTTTTTTTAATATTTTTTTTTTTTTTTTTGCTTTGCATTACTTTTCGTTCATCCCGCCTGCTGCTCCCCATGGCCGGTGCAGGGAGGAAAACCCAGCACCCTGAGGCTCACAGGGGGGACAGGGGGCTGCAGCCAGTCATGGGAGAGAAATGCTCAGCCCCACAGCCTGTAATTCTTTGGGAGCTTCCAGTGAGAAACCAGTAACGATTTTTTTCCCCCTCCTTGTTCTCCCACCTGAGGCTTTCACTTATAAGAGCAGGCAAAACTAACTAGAAAGAGGAGATAAGAAGGAAATGTGTAACAGCACATGAGTTTTGTAGATGATTCACACCCAGTGAAAGCAAAACAACCTGAGGAGGAAGGAAATCTGGGTACCGCAGAACTAAGTATAAATTTAAAAAAAAAAAAAAAGGGGGGGGGGGGGAGGGTGAAAAACAATCTCCTCTGATTGCCCTGAAAAGTACTGTCATTATTCTGCTGGCTTTACTTGGTAAAAAGTGTTGAAAAATGATCACTCTGAGTATTGGTGGCACCTTTCTGCTACAGAGAAATAAATTCAAAAGCAAAACACAGAGCCACGAGGAAGCAGCATGGCAAAAGTCCAGCCCCCTTGCAGGAACAAGCACCAGCTCTGCGCATTCCCCACCTTCCTGGGAGCTTCCATTTAGAAAGAAAACACAAACTCATTGTTTGCAAATACAGGCAGGATCTCGGAGGCTCTCTCTGGGTGTTATTTGCCAAGCAGAACAAACGCTGAACGCAAACAGCTCGGCTCCTTCCCTCCGAGGAGGACCAGGGCAGGGCTGCGGCGTGCAGAAGCGGGGAGAAGGGGCCAGGCCCTCTGCCTCCTCGCTGTCCTGCACAGACAAAGGCAACTTCTGGCCTTCCCGCTTCACATAAACAGACAAGGCATTAAGTAACTTCTCTGAGTCAGTACTTCTGGCTGCCCCGTGCCTTCAGGAGGAGATGGGGATGGCTGCACGGCTGCTCTGCTTCATTGACGTACCTGGCAATGCCTCCAAAAGCGAGACCAACGTGCTCCCCCCGCGATGCAAATGTGGACGAGTTTAGTCATTAGGAGGTCCAGAGAGTTGCTTTTTTTGATTTTTTTTCCCCTTCATCTTAAGCCTACCAAACTTCCTGAGGGTGAGTCTTGAGGACTGTTAGAAGAAAGTGGCTTCCCCAGACATCCATGTGTTAACCAAAATGAAGCGGAGAACAAATCAAAATAAAAACACGACTAATTGCACGGGATCTCCAAACTTCTTGCTTCTAAGAGGTGTGAAGGCTTTGGGTGTCTGTCTGACTGCCGAGCAGTAGCACTTTGGGGAACCACAGACGCTGTGGAGGCCAGCAGCCCTGCCAGCACCCCGCAGCCCCACCAAGAGCCCCCAGTTGCAGCCCAGTGCTGGTAAAACTCCCCCGGACACCGTCCTGTGCCCTCCTCACGGCCCATCTCCATCACGCTTCGAGACAAACTCTTACTCCAAATTTTCTCCTCCTGCCACAAGTGCATTTTCTAATTGAAAAAAGGGGCAACTTGTTTTAGTGTCACAGGCTTTAATTAAGCATAGTTTGTCTAGAATAGCTGCAGGGTTTATTTATTATTTATTGAAGAAAGGTTAGTTATTTACTGGGGGGGGGCGGGGAGCAGACAGCTGTAGTTACAACTTCAGAGCATGAATCAGCCAGCCCATCACTCACCCGGCGTTAGGACACTGGTGGATTACCAGCAGGGTCAGGAAAAATATTTCTTTTCCTGATAAAGCGTTGCTTAATGAGGGTGGTTTTGGTCGTTTCAAGTCTCCCTGCAAGCAGCAGTTGTTGCTGGTCACCATCCAAGGACGAGACATTGGCTTTGTCCTGGGGGGTGGGGAATCCCCTAAGGCCTTGTTTTGTACCTTACACTGTGATGGGGGCCACGACGGGCACTGCTGCACAGCAGGGCCATGCTGAAGGCCCTGCACACCCCTCTCCTTCCTTCCAGCGACGGGCCAGGCCCACCCCTACACGTCAGGACCAGCCCTAGCGCTAAGGGACCGCATGCGGGGACGCATCCTCCATGAACAGGCACCCACAGAAATCCTGAGCCCATAAGGAGGTTCCTACAGACCACAGGATGCAGACATTTCTAGGAGCACCTCCTGCAACCCCACGCCAAGACAGCGCCAGGTCGTGCTCTGCTCAGCTCCTCACCTGGGTTTTCCAGGAAGAACAAAGCATTGGAGAGAGCCTTCCTCCTCACCCGGGGATGTTACATTCGGTTATCTCCTAGCCTCTTCTGTGCGCCGAGAGGCTAACACTGCAGAGACACCCCCAGCCACCCAGCCTGCCCCCTCCTGTGCTCTGGGGGTGCCCCCCAGATCCGCACCCAACCCCACAGACAGGCACGGTGCTTGCCGCAGACCTGCTCCCGCTGCGAGGAGCTCCCCGCAAGCAGGGGGCTGCTAACCACCAGTTCGAGGGCAGGGGCCTATAAAGCCAGTGAGGGGCCCATAAAGCCAGCCCAAGTCATATTTTTTGCTTTTTTTAATTAAAAAAAGCTTTAACTTTCCCCTCACCACTTCTGGGCTGAATTGGTTTGATCCAGAGAGGTAGTTATGCATAAGAGTAACCACTTTATATTGAATTAGGGGATTTCTCATGCAACACATCTCACCAATTACAAGGCAGGGATGCAATTCTATGATTTATAATACATTATACTGTTAAGTAATATAACATTATAGATACAATTTGTACCTATCTCTCCATGGATTAGAGAGGTGGCACATGAAGAGTGGATCATTAAACAGCAGTGCAAGGCCAGGGGCCAAGCACTTCTGTTTAACAAGCTGCTCCAAGTACCACCTCTCTAATCCACGGAGAGAGAGAATAAATTGTTCCTGTATCTTGTTATAAATCATGTTCTTTTGGGTTTTCTTTTTTTTTTTTTAATTAAAATAATAATAATAATAATTTCTGTTTAGGACTATCTCTTCCCGGGGCTGAGCTAGTTTAAGCTGAAGGCGCTTCTGTTCCGGAAACAGCCTGAAGCCAGATTGTGCAATTTACAATCTGGCTGAATTTAGGGGCGGCACGGGGAGCGAGATGGCTGCACCATCCCTCTGGGTGAAGGAGACCGCCCTCCTGGCCAGGCCAGGCTTTTTGGAGGCTGAAGCACCCAGGTTCTCCCAGCCACAGTGGCGCAGCTGGAGCTCAGGCAGCGGGAGAGGACAACAGGCTCTGAGCTGCCCCAAGCAAAGGGGCTGTGAATAGCACGGGCTGGGAGGTGGGAGCTTTGGACACATCCTTGCTTCATCAGGAAGGAAAGAGGCACTGCATGGTGCCCTGGGAGCAGCCAGCATTGCCATTCCCACGCAAACACTAAAAAGCAGCTCTAGCCAGGTAAGGTGAGGTCTTTGGCAGGACAGGGGTGACACAGTGGTATTCCAGCACAGGGTGTGCAAACCTGCTCCGCTCAATGGCAATCCGCAGCAGATGAAGGTGAGCTCTTTGACCTC